TTCATTTACTATTTACTAGGTTAAGCTCTTTTTTTTTCGTCACGCATGCTTAATATGATTCCTATCTTTTAGACTGGCGGTGCGTTATCTTTTTGAAACGTCCTCCTTGGAAATGCGTGAAGTAAAACTCGACAAATTTCAGGCTCCACAAAAGAATAATCCATCTTACTTACCGTGGGCAATGCGTGGGATATTAGAAGACCGGGGCATCACCGGAAGCCAAAAACTTTTGCACGAGATCAAAATATTAAGGAAGCAGTACAAAGAATGGGAACCCACGACGAAGATAATGAAGGACATCAAGCACCGCCTAGAACCATTCCGAGACATTATTCTCGAGAGGGCAAAACTATGATCGGAAGTGGTCATTGGTGACGATCTCCTTATGGCACGCGTAGTACTATTGGTACTAAAACGTAATATGACCATCAAACACATCCGGTCATCTGGAAAGCGAGTTTGATGGCATCTTCTTGACTATATTTAATCACAGGATTCCACAGATCGAGTTTTCTGTGCACGCATGTGTCTGTCTTTGGAAGTATATGAAATTGAGATTTCCTTCTTTAAGTTTGTACAGAACCTTATCAATCTTTTTCATAAACTAAAAGTAGTAAATAATTATTTTCAACCTTCACCTCAAGGGATATGTTATCAAAGAAAACTTTATTAATTGACAAATAATACTTTAATTTAAATAATTCGCATATTAATTAGAATAATAAAGATTTCTCGTGCCTCCAGCTGGAAATTTCCGGTTGACCAATGACCCTTGCTTGAGACTTGCTATAAATGTCCATCTATCATAGTATGGGGGGAATAAGATAGCTTCATATGAAACTCTATGATAACTAATATCATTTTCACATGAGTATCGGCGTGCTTGCACAACGTGGCTTAAAGAATGTTTTATCAAACGCCTCGAAATTCAGGCTGATTGACTTTTATCACGTGCACTCGTGTATTACCAATACGCGCGTTCATTTACAGTATATCAAGGGCACAATATTATAATATTCGGAAAATTCGTGACGCATATAACTTACCATTTATGAGTATTGTGATTAACTATTGATTTTGCAAATGGTGTTCCTTATGATGCTTATGTACCGTATACAGTGTGGAACGAAAATGGTTTTGACTCAATTTTTTGCATACTGTAAATCTGATAAACTAGATGGTACTCCTCTAAATCTGATTTGGAGAATAATGGTTTTTTTTTCCCTGGTTCTTGCACTAAACCAAGAAATCATTGTTATCTGTTTATTACTATTTATTATTCTAAAATTGATAAATTACTCGTTACAAGAATTTAAAAATAGATCAAGATTATTAAAAACTCTTTCTACTTATTTTTTGATCACATACAAAAAAAAAATGTTGTAAGAAGTTTTATACTTCTTGGCTAATAAAGTCTTTATACTTTTTTTAAAATGATTTGAAGCTTGTCTTTATAAATCACTATTATCTTTACTTATTTGTTTATAAACTTCTTTAAAAAAAAACTTGGATCTTTAATGGTTTAAATAATCTCAAGTCATATTTTTTCTACTAATGACAAGAAGGTTTCAGGATCAACAAATGAAGCCTCATTTTTCAAAGTTGAAAATGACATAGAGATAGAGGACTTCTAGGTAAAAGAAGGCTTATTACTCACCTTTAATATATATCTATTCTTAATTTTCTTAGAGTATTTATTGTTTTTATAATTTTCTTAAGAAATTTTGTTTGTATTAGTTTAATCCTAAATTTCTGATAGTATAATATCACTTGATATCTGATTGACTAATATGAATCATATTAATAACAAGATATAAATAAGCTCCTATTGATTATATTTATATATTTTAATAATATTATTAATATAAAAAAAATTTATTGATGCAAACTTCCATACTCTTTTAAATAAAGTATAATTAAAACAAAAAAATCATAAGTTTATTAGAATAAATATTAAATTTTCTAAGTGATAAAAAAAGAATTTATTTGTTTAAGTTGAGATTTTTAACTTTTTATTATCTTAATTAAATAAAGTATACAAAAAATATTATTTTCTTATTTTTATTAAACAATAAAATCAAAAAACAAAAAATTTAAATTATTCTCCTTTTCTAAATTGAGAATATATTTCTTAGGTATTATATAATGATATTATAATTACCAAAATTCCTATCTAATTAAAACTCTTCTACTGTAATCAAATTTATATTAGACTGGTATGTTCAAGTGGAATTACTTTTAAAAGAACAATTCCCAAAGAAAGAATTAAAGAAATGATTTATAATAAAGAAATATTCAAGAATAGATTCACCAAGAATCCTTTAAATAGTGTCACACAGTGTTTCACAAGAAATATGGTTCGCTCAAAACTCAAGTTTATTAATAAATCAAGAAAACTAAGACAATTCCTTTAATCCTAAAATCAAAAGAAAATATTCAATCTTTCAAAATAAAAGTGAAGTTATTCCTAAATTTCTAAAGTCAAATGAAGCTATCTATAAACTTATCCTACTTTTAAGCAAATTATGAATGCTTATATACTTGTAAAAATGTGTCACTTGGACCACTTGGATCTCCTGGACTGCCTGATTTACAATAAATTATGTCATATGCTACATTTGATAAGGTGATCTATATTAATCAAGTACCAATAAAAATATCAAAGAATATCAAAAAAATAATTATAAATAAATAAATAAAAATAAAAATAGAATGAAGATCATAACTAAAAATAACTATCCAATAGTATTAAAGGCTATTTTTAT